AACATAACAAGAATTATTATACAGCCAGGCTTTATCGCCCAAACCTAAGGGATTACTCTACATACACTACAATGTAATGTATATTCATAACAATAAAGCAACACCTGTCTCATTTTAATTCTGCTTCTGTTGTTTGTTTGTGTACATCACTAGCCAACGGCGGGAAAAAACGCCGGTAAAATTCGGTAATATTCAGGTAACTTTTGACCTGCCTCTCTCTACTTCCCACTCCTTCCACGAATGCCGAAATGAATTATGGGATATTTCTGCCGTCAAGTTCACACAAGTTACCATCCGATGCATCCTCTGTAAAATGGAAGTGTCAAGAACACATCCGGGATTTTTAACCGTTCTTGCCTAAATGCAAACTTGTGTATTGGGACAGTACTTGGGCCGCGATTGATGACGTTTTACAAGTCCACAAGAACACAAGTACAGACAAGAAGGCATATTGAGAAACGGCCCATGTGTCTCTGATGAGATCTGTGCTTATAGTTGACCATGCGCTTCTCTCACCTGAATCAGACTAAAGACAAGAAGGATGAATGTGAGTTAATATTTTTGTTATTGTTTTTTTGTTTTTTTAGGGTTTTTTTTTTTACAGTTTTTCCCAACTGGTTACACAAGTCTAAAAACAAATCAACAAACACGAAATGCAAAACAAGAATCTATAGCAAATAATGCATTAAAACCTGTTACTAGTGTGTTTTGCTGCAAAATGATATACACACATGAAGAGATCTGTCTACCGACAACAACACACTGATGTGCTCAACACAAAACACTGTATGAAACCCCATCAGTATAAGTTTATGCCTTTTGCATTGTTAATATTACACTGTAGCTGTTTGTAAAAGATTGTTACAAAAATGTATACCAACTCAAATATTAATTAACACACAAATGAAATACAGTAACAAAAACTTTGTCATTTACAGTAGCAGTATTATTAATGTAACACTTGGGTTTTAAAAACTCTTTAACAGGAGTAAACTAGGAAAAACAATCAGTAGGATAAAGTGGGGGGAAATGAAACAAAAACACAGTACTTCATCTGCAATACAAGTAATGTTGTCTCTGGATAAACAGTGGGGAAAGAGTCTGAGTGATGGATCCATCCACCACAGGCCTGCACATCAACTTCACCATATGCATCTTTAGTGAAGAGGCATGCTTGCATCCTTGGGATGGCAGTCATATATATATATATATATATATATATATATTCATCTTCATGCCAGGATAAAGAACTTGGGAAAAAAGTAATGGGGAAATGTGTTGGGAGGTATAGTATTATAGCACTTTCTTTGCTCTTGTCCTCCTCTACTCTCACTCTCACTCCTTCACCTCTAGCTCTTGCTTCACCATCGACTTCCATTTTACTACAAAATAGGAAAGCTCATCCATGTAAACAATTCTGAAACTGTTTACACCACTGAGTGTTGCCAAATGGTGTAAACAGTTCAGCAGTGTGAATAGTGTTGCTTTTCAACAGGATTAAAGAGATATTCATTTTGAATGATTTACCAAGAGATCTGTGGAGTTTTGCAAACAGTGTGATATTTATAAAGTGTTAAGAATTTATAAAGTGTTAAGAATTTATAAAGTGTTAAGAATTTATAAAGTGTTAAGCTGGAACTGTGATTCCAATTCGAGAGACTTGGTTTAGTGATTTGGTACATGAGTTCCAGGTTTTGGTGATTGTGTTTCAAGTTTTTGATTTTAGTGAACAACTGGAAAATAAACATACTTTTTGTCCTTTTTTTTTATCTGGTTAATTATTTTATTAGTTTTACTTTTACAGTATTACAATTTTAAAATGCTTTACATGTTTTACAACATTTAATGCTGTGCTTATTCATCCAACATATTTCTTTTCAAATAAAGATATTTTTCCACATATTGAGGAATTTATTTGACACACTGTAAAAAAAATATTTTCAAGATTTGTTATCACAACATATCTTCTTTTGTCAAATCAACTTTATAATAATTTATTTAGTTCAGATAACTTATTATTTTGAGTTTCTGATGGTTAAATTAATCTACTTCATTGTATTAACTCACTTTTTCCAGTTCAATCAACTTAAAATTTTAAGGCAACCCAGGTTACTTACTTTTTTAAGTTAAACCAACAATATTTTTTTACAGTGTAGTAATCACAACATTTTTTTCTTTTGTCAAATCAACTTAAATAGTTTATTTAGTTCAGATAACATATAATTTTGAGTTTCTGATGGTTAAATTAATCTCCTTCATTATATTAACTCATTTTTTCCAGTTCAATCAACTTAAAATTTTAAGGCAACCAGGTTACTTACTTTTTTAACTTAACTTAAACCATCAAATTTTTTTTACAGTGCACATATTGAGGAATTTTTTTGATAGTAATACTCACTATACTGTAAATTATGTTGATTACAGTAGTATAATGTTGCAAATGTTGCTAATTTCAAAATGTAGGTTTGTGTACAAAATAAAATCAATCAATGTATTTTTGTTAATGAAATTATAATGTGTTAGTGTGTGATGACATTGTTAACAATTTGAAGCCAGTTGAAAAATAATAAATATTTAATTTTAGATAGTTTTTGATTTGTAATGAAAGTGTGCGGTTTGTGCAAGTGAGTTTATAGTTTTGATTTTGTGCTTTCGTAATTATTTTAGTCTTGTCCTCTACATAACTTTGTATGGGTTGTGTGTGAAATTCTGATCACTGTGACCGAATAACTTTTTATATTACCAGGCCACTGAGAACAATATGCTCATCACAGAGATATGGTTTATTGTTTGATTTAATTGTTGTGGTGTTACCTTTTTTTTCTTTTCTTTTTTTTTTTTAAATTAAACACAAAATATGTTTGTGTATTCATTACTATAGTCAATGTAAAAATTTGAAGTTTAAAAAAATGGCTTTCCTTGTTGCATGCCTGTCTCATTATGGTTGTTATAATTATCTTTCACACTGAAACCATACAGTTTATATATGTCAAATATCATATTCAGGTATTTTCACAAGATTTGATTTGATAACAGCTGCTGAATTCATCCAATTGTCATCGGCTTCAATGAATCAGTGATCCCACTTCATATTTTGACATAAATCAAACATAAATCAAATAACTCAATAAATGATTGTACGGCTAGAAGTAAAATATTCTGGCACACGGCAACCGTGTCATCTGAACCAAAGGAAATATCAAATAATAGTCAAATAATATATAAACGGGAATAAAATATGTAATTTGAGAACATAATAGTCAAATAATATATAAACGGGAATAAAATATGTAATTTGAGAACATGCTGGTATTTGCTTTTTTCCTTTATTTACAACACATTCTCACCCCAAGGCGTCACCTTTGACCATGCTTCAATATTTGACGTTTTAGGCGCCCTTTAGCGTCACTTACATGACGCGATCCTACGGCGTCATCTAACTGACGCTAAAGGAAAGCGTCAGTTAGAGGACGCGGTTAGGTTTAGGTATGGGGTGGGGGTAGGGTACACGCGATCCTAGGGCGTCATCTAACTGACGCTAAAGGGCGCCTAAAGCGTCAGATATTGAAGCATGAGGCTTGTTTGAGATGCGCCTCGCCTCGCCTGCAATGTAGTCGAGAGTAGGCGGCTGCAGTTAGAGGAGGAGTGAAAAAAGCGCATTCAAGCCGGACAAATATCGGTTCTCGCAGTGAATCAGACACCTGTGAGATCAAATTCTGATATCGCGGGATTCACGCTCGTGCACGTGTTGCTAATAAACTGGATGTGATTTAAGTTCGCTTGCTTTTATATAAAAATAAATATAATGTAAATAAAACCCAAAGTACTTGTTATTTAATTACATTCCAAATAGCCTATGGTTTATCAATCTTTTTTTTCTTTAATACAGACGTGTTTTTATATAGCCTATTGTTTTAACAAAAATGAAATATAACCCATATGGCACTGTCAGAGAGTTTATTCACCCATATGTATACATAAAACATGATATCAGTTTTAAAATCAAACATTTTAAAAGAGAACAATTCATCTGTTGTTCTTTTATTTTTATTTATTTTACTTTTTTATTAGAATGCAAGTTACAAACAGCCTACCTACAAGCACCACAATTCGTGAAACAAATAGGCCTATTATACAGTGACAAATACATAAACATCAGAATAAAATTAATAATAAAATAAATAAATCAATCAAAATAAGCTTAGCTTAAATAGACAGACTTACAAACTTCATCATCTATAAAATGAGAGCTATTTTTCACTTGAACATTTTAGAGTAGGCCTAGTATATTTGAGTTACTGACTATAGGCTAGCTTTCTTATTTTTAACCCGTTTAAGAGATTCACAATATAGATCAGTTTCAATTTGAAAAAAATAAATAAATAAAACATGGCCTTGATTTGGAGAATTTAGCTTAATGAATATGGAATTTACCTTCATCACTGTTGTTTAAACCAATGAGCATTAAGCTGTGTCGTCAGCAAGTCGTTTCCCATCATGCTTTTGATCAGCGCAGTCGGTGGAGAGCAACTGCGCGCGACTGCAGAATCCGACCCTTCCGCCTTGCGCTCGCGAGAGTTTTTTGACATACGTCGGCATGACATCAGAGCCAGGCGGACCGTTCTCGGACACATTTCTAACCGGCATGCATCTCGCGCTGATCAGCGGTGATCGATTCTGCGCAGAATTTGCTCATTTCAAACAAGCCTATGGTCAAATGCTTCCCAAGGCGTCAGTTAGGTGACGCCTTAGGAGTGAGAATGGGCTGTTATTTACATTTATGCATTTTGCATGCCGATTTTATTCATACTTGACAACTATTGCATTCAATGTTTACATTTTATTAGTTAGTTTATTTCCTGGAAATCAAAACCATGACCCTTATACATGTTTATGGACTTAGTTATGCAGTTAATTTAATACATTGTTGTAATGCACTTAAAGTGAAGAAAAATGTTCTTCTAAAAAATCTTCAAATAAGCAAAAGAAAAAACTTGTAATTGTAAAGAATTGTTTATTTAGAACTACAATGTACAGACTCACAAATAAAAATTACTCCATATGATTTAGCATATTTTATAGATGTTTTTTTTCTGCTAGTTACAGTAGTATTAGTAAGATTATTTAAACGAAGCAATCACACTGAAAACTAAATGCAATTAACAATAATGACAGTAGGGGGCGCTTAAGTTCCATGAAAAAATGTTTCTGTGTGTGAACGCTGAATCTATGACTCAAATCAAACCGTTTGGTTTCATAATAGTTCTAAATGTTATGAAAATATTGATTGAAACACTTTATAACATCCTCATTCACACTACTTCTATCCACATACGATCAGCTCTAGAGAGTTCAAGCAAAATCATTACACATAATAAAATACACATTATTTTATCACTACCAACATTGCATAGATATGCTCAAATACAAGTCATGTAAGCATTTTTTTATGCAATTTTTACATTTTAATTATTACTTTAATTATTAAAGTTTAAAAAAAAAATAAAAGTTCAGCATAAGGAGAGTGTACGAAAGATGTGACAAAGAGAATACATCAGTGATCCAAGGAGGTCTTCTTTCAGTTGGCATTAGACGTACTGTAGTCAGTTTGGCACCAGGATCCTCCCTGACAAAGTAAAAACAACAATTAATTGACAAGCTAGATGAATGTTCAGACATGACATATATCAGAAATTCTCAACTCTGGCCCTCAAGGTCCTGCAGTGTTTGGTTTGATCAAACCTTGATCATATTCTTGGAGCTTCTAAAAATCTGTAAGACCTTTATTAGCGTGTTTAGGTTTGTTTGATTAGGGTTGGAGCTAAACTGGAAAGTCGATGAGTATCAGATGGTTTGGCCTTATCTCCACTGACCTGATGATTTCTTCTTGTAGTAAATGAGTCCAGCAGCTGCAATGATAATTCCCAGCACCAGACCAGAGGATCCAATAGCGATTTTATTCCTCTCAATGTCTGGCATAGAGGGATCTGTGGGGAACGGAAATCATGCTCTGTTAGTGAATGATTACATTCTTTAACAGTACATATGAGTTGAGTAATGAGTACATTTTCAATATTTACTTTTAATATTTGTTTAGATGTGCAAGTGTAAAAACAAAAGAATTTCCATATTTTCTATTTGCTCCCATAAATGGAAAGGAAAGAGGAAAGACTAGTAAATGTTTTGTCTTACTCCAGTCTTTAACAATAGGTTGAGGTGAGCTGGCGTGCTCCACCACACAGGAGATCTTCTCTCCAGATTTCGGAGTGTATTCCAGCTCAGAGTGAATCTGGTAGTACCAGTCTCCATCAGCCATCTCCATTGTTGAGGTCACGTCTGAGGTCATCAGTTTACCATCTCTCAGCCAGGACACTTTGATTTTTTTTGGGTAGAATTCATATGCACTGCACATCAACACAGCTGGATGATTGCCTTCAGCCTGCTTCACTGAACTGAGTGTAACCTCCGGTTTTACTAAATCAGAAGAAAAAAAAAATACTCTAAAATTAGCTTACAATATTCTAATGTATAACACAAACAAAATTATAAATACATTAGGTGACCAGTAGCTATAATAATTGAACCAATTAAACTATATGAATAACATGAATTATTTGTACTATAAAGTAATTTCTTTAGATTTAGAAATGGATTATCGAGAAAAAAAGCCCATACACTTTTTCTTATATTATTCAGTTGGAAAAAAAAAAATCTTAAAGTTAAAATTTTGTAAAATAACCCCTGTGTAAAGTTGTTCAGTTGTAATTGATATGTTATTGATTTTGTTTTAAAAACAATCATAAATCAAAAGACAACCACAATGTGCAGACACAACACCAGCAAAACAACAGACTTCCGTTTTAATGCAATTTGAGTGTGTTTCTTCTGCACCAGTGTACACACATGGTGAGGTATTTATTATGCAGTAAAGATGAGACAGGAGTGTTGTAGCACTCACCTGCTTTATCACGGACATTTGAGTCAATGATCTGAGCATTATATCTGCAGAATCTGTCCACCGCAGCTTTATACTGCTGCATAATGGCCTGATCTTTGTTCCAGTTCTCTGCATACTTCACTCCTTCCTCAGTGTACCCCACACACTTCCCAACAGAGCTGTTAAATTGTACATCCACAACTTTATTGAAGGACTTTGACAGAAGATACACCATATCACTGTAATCACTGGTGCTGTAGATGCATTCATGCTTCATGTATTCATAATATCCATCAGCTGAAACATAAAAACAGTGTGTTAGATCTTTAGTTGTTGTATAATTGTATATCATTCATAAAAACAAAAGTGCCTGTATTCATTTGCTCTTTGCTATTTCTTTGTTTTGGTGTCTAGTGAATACTGTGTGCTATAGATACATTCCCTTTAGAGAGACCCCACAACTGGTTCATCTCACTCATATTTTCTGGAATATTCATGAAAATGTTTTATAAGGCAATTGAATTAACAGCTATGACATTAACTACAAAACCAATATGAAAGATTAAAACATAAAAATGCATAAATCACAGGTGTGTTTATAAATTAAAGCATTACATTTGCTTAATATTTTATTGTACTTGCCTGTTCCAATAAATGCAGACAGCATCAATATGGGATGAAAAATCAAAAATTTTCGCACAGACATATTTGCAGTCTATGAATTTGCCAAATGAGGAACTTTTTCTCTGTGCTTGTTCTTTTGGTGGATGTCTAAATAATCTGACAAATCAGCTTCTACTCACATAAATGTCAAGTGTTGCTAGGTGGAAAACTGCTTTCATTTTCCTGTTTTTTTATTGGGCAATTGTTGTGTGTGTGCATAAATGAATGTGTATATAGGCAAAACAATGCACTACAAATTGACAAATAATTTTTATTTATTTATTTTTCTGTGTAAAAAAGGAACAAGAACAATTATTTTTTCTTTATTTATTTGGCCTTTATTGCCAGAGTTGAATTTCTTCTCCTAGAGGAATATATGAAGAGTTCAGATGCAAAAGCCTCTAAATGCCATTGGAAATTTTCTTCTAAAATGATAATTTTTATCAAGCTTATATATTCAAGTTCAGTAATTTCACTTAAATGACAATTAATAGGTAATTATCATTGCCATTTAAGTGAAATCACTGAACTTAAATATACAAGCTTGATAAAAATTATCATTCTAGAAGAAAATTTCAAATGGCACTTAGAGGCTTTTGCATCTGAACTCTTCATATATGTCTTTGAAGATATACATTTTATAGTGTAATGTATTATTTATTTTATTTGTGCCTGGTTTACAAAACAATCTGTAGTTATTTCAGCATTCATTTTATTTATCTTTCTTTGAAACCCTAAAATAAACTCTCCTCTTGTTCTTATACTGCTGTAGTCGAGCATGTTTGAAGGTTCAAAATGTTAGTTACAGTTTTTCTGAATTGCTAAAACACTAAACCCCATTCTCTGAACCAAATTCTCAATTGCCTGAACCAATTTGTCAAATAAATCACTCTTTCTGAAAAACACATTAAACAAGTTCAGGTGGTTAAAACACTGTTTGCAAATCTCATGAACTCCTTTTGCAAAACAAATTTCACACTGTGATGCACTCGTATTGCAAAACACTAAACACAGCAGGCAAAAGTTAAACACCTAAAACATGAAACACAGTTGTTATTGTTTACACACATTGTTCACACTTATGGTGTGATCAAACCAACTGTACAAAACAAGCCAGCTCAGAGTGCACATGTGACAGTGGTGTACTGAATGAAATCAATAGATGGAAACAATCTGAGAAGGAGAGGAGTAAGAAGGTGTGTAAGAGGTGGTGGACGAAGAGGAAGAGGACGAGGACGAGGACGAGGAGTGGACAGTGTTGTCAAGTCTGGATCTGGCACACCAGAGTGTTTTTCCTTTTGTCTGGCAAAAGACAACATTTTGTCTGTGATGTGGAAAGAGTCCTCACGCCAGTCAGGGCCCAGAAGAATTATAAGGTGTAATACCAACGCATTCTCACCCCAAGGCGTCACCTTTGACCATGCTTCAATATTTGACGTTTTAGGCGCCCTTTAGCGTCACTTACATGACGCGATCCTACGGCGTCATCTAACTGACGCTAAAGGAAAGCGTCAGTTAGAGGACGCGGTTAGGTTTAGGTATGGGGTGGGGGTAGGGTACACGCGATCCCAGGGCGTCATCTAACTGACGCTAAAGGGCGCCTAAAGCGTCAGATATTGAAGCATGTCCAAATGCTTCCCAAGGCGTCAGTTAAGTGACGCCTTGGGGGTGAGAATGGGCTGGTAATACGTAAGGTGATGATCAGAAAACACAGATTGAACAGATGGAACTTAAATACAAACACAGGTGATACGGGATTTTTTTTTTTTTTTTTTATTAAACCTTTATTTAACCAGGGATATAGTCACATTGAGATAAATATCTCATTTACAAGTGAGCCCTGGCCAAAATAGCAGCACACGATATACATAAATACATAAAACATAATACACAACACGAACATGTACAAAAAATAATACAAAATTAAAAGTTAAGAGCAAGTGCAGACAGATTTGAATGATTTGTTTAAGTGTAGCTTGAACTCACTTATCGAAATAAGTTCTTCTAGTTTCAGTGAACTTTGGATCTCATTCCAAACATGATGACCATGATGACTAAACAGGTGACAAAACTGAACTGATAATGACAGTAACCATGGATACAAAGGAGTGGCGGGAAAAGAACAGAGGAGAACAGGAACCAATCAAAATACAAACTGAAAGTCCAAACAAACACTGACATGTGACAACTATCCTTGCAGTAGATACTATTTATTCACCTTACTACTGTAAGTTGTCATAACTATACTTTTGATGTAATTGCAAAATGTGTTTACTTTTCTTCTGTACCCGCATGCTCTGGATTCTGTGTTCTCCATTTTTTTATGTCGTGTCTAATGATTGATCTGTTGTGTTTATAATACTAACTCATGTGTGCATGATCTGAAAACACTGTTTGATTTTGGGCACAGATTAAATGGTTTTGGGCAAATGTTTGATTGAGTCAGGGGTTCTCTGAATGAAGTTTGAAGATTTGGTTTTGTGTTCAATTGGGTTTTGAGAAAGTGGATTATAGTTTCAAGAAATGTGTTTTCTTTTGTTAAATACCATTTTATTAATAGGGAAAATGTTTATTTTTAAAACAAAAACATCATCAAGCTTGTGTTTAGATTACTTTAAGAATGTTATTATATTATAAGGTGACAGCTTCATTTAGAAAAGATAATAGCAGAAAGTAAAAAATAGAATGGATGAATATAATAAAAAATGGAGTAATATTCTATGTTTATTATAATTATATGACATTTTGTAGTTTTCCCTACCTTTTTCATATCATTCATTCTTCTGTTGTAATATATTTTGTAAAGTGTGTCTATCTTTTCTCATGTATGTTCTGGGGTATGAATGTGAGGATGAATGTATAAGCAGAGTTTCTGTCTGTAAATTGTATTTCTTATTAAATAAAGATTAAAAAACAGTCTACTACTAATACTCTGAGAGTTAGTTTCACGTAGTTGTAAAGTTATTAGAATGTCTAAAGTGTACAATCGAAATAAAGTGCAACTAAAAATATTTTTGTTTAAAGATAGTATTTATTTCAAGACATTGTTTTCACTTGACAAACCTGTCATAAGACAAAAACAAACACGAAAAGAAATTGGAAAATGTCAGAAGGATTTATTAGTTTCAAAAATAAAAAAAAATATATAAGGAAAAAAAGCATTTGAAGTGTGCGTGTGGGCATCACAACTCTTCCACAATAAATTGTTTTTAATAAAAGACTACAATTTGGCAAATAAAAGTACAAGTAAGTGTCGAAGACAAGAATAGAATGTGAGTTAATGTTATGTATAAACAAATCTGCAAGTAAATGTTAAGTAAAAGAATATTGTTTGTCCAGTGTTTAAATCAGAGCCCTGTGTCTGTGGACAATAACCTTTCTGTAAAACATCCGTCCTGTAGAACATCGACTCTTGTCGTTTCTCTTATGAAAACCACAAACTGAAGGATGAAATATATTTTTATTACAATCAGGTGAGGATGCACTCTTTTAGTGACTTTCAAAATAAATGCACCTCAAAACGTTGCATGTCATGTTTGCCTTGACTTCTGACAGAAAAATGTATTTGAGATTACTCATTATTTGTACAAATGAAAGAAAATCATGCTGTGTCAGAATAATAATTCGACAAGGACTCCAGTAAAATTGTAACAAAATTTGTCATGTACAAAGGCACACAAAACTATTGTTTTTAGCACCAAAAGCCTTAATTTACAAAACTTTCATTGGAGGAGAATTTTATTTAGAAGTACAAAAAAAATCTGAATTACAAAATAAGAAAGTGTTCATTTTTAAATCAGAGCTTTCAGTTGCAGTTGTTTCCTTTAATGAGGAAGAAAGTTCCAGCAGCGACTCCCAGCAGTCCCAGAGTCAGACCCACTCCACAGAACACATCTGGACCAACACTGGGGAGGGCAACGTCAACATCTGAAACACACAAGCACATGATGATGCATGCCACAGAATGTACAGTAAGTGCATTTATTTAATGTTTACTGTAAAGTGACATTTTTAGAGTTTTACTTTTTACATTATCTTCCTAATTTTTCCTGAATATGGCAAATGAACTAGATTTATAACACTATGTTTATGATTAATGTCTACATAATCTTTTCCAACAACTTCTCAAGAAGTTAGTTTTTAGGATAGGCTATGTCATGTTTGCCTTAAATTGTTTAAGATGATGTCTGTTTTAAAATACCAGGTGATCTAAAGAAAAGATTTTGGAACAATTAGGATTAATACAACCGTACATCCACTGAATCAACATGAAGCAGTGCCTCACCCCATGTTTTGGTTATAGGTTGGCCTGGAATGGATTTGTGGTTCACAGTGCAGCTGTAAATGTCTCCCTCTTTAGGCGTGAACTTCAGAGTAGAGAAGATGTTGAAGGTGCCGTCGTCTTTTAAGCGGTACTGGCTTAGACTCATGCCTTCTGTCACAATCTGATTGTTTTTAGTCCAAGACACATTGACAGGTGGAGGGAAGAATCCAGTCACATGACAGATAAGGGTGTTCTCGGCATCCTGCAACACAACAGCTTTTGGATAGATGGATGTATCTGGGATGTCTGTGAACACACAGAAATAGATGCTGATTTGTACTTGGGACCTCTGTGTACATTTTATCTTGGACCACAAGATAAAAATAAAAATAAATCTTGCAAAATTAAATCGTGATTATATTGGTTGTAATTTCTACATCTGATTTATTTGCACATCTCCAAAAAAGTTAATTTCAGATTATTGTAAAACTATTATATCATCAACTAAAAATATAATAATTATATGCAATGTGTCTGTTTTACCTAGTTGTTCAACCGAGGGTTTGTAGACTTTAATGTCTAAGTCTAAGTTTTGTTTGCAGATCTCCATTTCAGAAACACCATTCTCATAACCTCCAGGATAGCTGATAGGATCTCCAAAGTCAGGCAGCGTCATTACTCCTTCTTTTCTAATGAAGTCTGCATGGAATATTTCCTCTCCATCAAATCCCATTAAATATTCTTTCTCTTTATCAGAACATCCAGAAAATTGAACATCCCTGTGCACAACTGAAACAGATAAAGTATCATGTTACAAAAGATCGAATGGATGAACAGAATGGATGAATAATAAAGAATGAACTTTATCGGATGTGCAATCAGTACAGTGATAAAATTGGGAAACAAACAATTTAAAACAACATAAAATTTGTTTCTCAACCCTAAAAAAAGTACTATTCAACAGATAGAGTTGTAAGTCACTTTGGATAAAAGCGTCTGCTAAATGACTAAATGTATAGTATATATTAAAGGATCTAAGGAGTTTTAGAAGCAACCTTTGTAAATAGTTTCAAGAGAACCACATATATATATATATATATATAATTGAATTGCATGTAATTATATAATAATTGATTATAGATTTTTAATCCAGTATCCATTTTTTGTTTCTAATTTCACTAATTCATTCATTGATCAGTCATTTTATATTATTTTCCATAACTGTATTGTATGTTGTGTTCTGAGTTGTCTTCACAAACAAGTTAGAGATAAGAGAATGCCTCAGTTTTAATGCCACATGATGTTATGAAGTATTTTTTATAATAACGTATTTGGTATAATAACACTTGAATTTGTGCTGGTCAGACAATGTTTGACTGAGCATTGAAACAGAAGCAACTACAAAAATGTACTCTGCCTTCTGCTCTTGTTCCTATATCTGACTCTTAGGCTGATAGGCTGTTAATACAGTTTCTATATCAGACAATATAAAGTCAAGCTACTGATTTGGGGTATCAGACAATTATCTGCAGACAGGTTTTGGGTACCAGACAAACATCTTTATACATCGTTTGGGGAATATGATCATGATCATACTTGCTTATACTATAACTTTATAAATCAGCAGATATAATTGTATAAGGCAGTTTCCTGACTTACCTTGAGTCTCAGTTCTCACAATAACAGCGAGCATAAGCAGGACACCATACATCTCCATTGTTCATGCAGAAGTGAATAGAGCAAACACATATCAAACAGTCCTGGAGTGAATAATAGGTAAAGCTGCTGATCTCTGATGATGTATAAGCCTCCCAAACACAACATCCAATCAGAAATTGAGCCCTACTCTGACATCACTGTATCCAGTTAAAATCATGTTCTATTTCAGACTTGTTTGATTGCTAAGAAGTAGGTTTCTTTACTCTATATTGTATTCTGCTTTGCAGTTTGATATCTATATTTCATAAATCTATGAATAATATGTATAAAATAATGTACATTCATTGTGCTGTGTGTGTGTGTGTGTGTGTGTGTGTGTGTGTGTGTGTGTGTGTGTGTGTGTGTTAAGTAAATCTATAAATTTTTATTTTAATGTCTGCCTTTTAACTTTTATATATTTTTTTATTCTTACATGTTATTATGTGTCGTTATATGGTAGTTAACATTTGAAGTGAATCAAAACCTTTCATCTGATTAAATGAATTTTGAAAAATAACATTACCCATTCATGTCTCAGGACAACTTTGACAAGCTTTTTTGATCCACTTTAAATGTTGTATTATTTCTTTGTGTGTACTGGAATATTCAATGCAGGGTAAATTCCTTGTGTGTGTGCAAGCACTCTTGGCAATAAAGCTCTTTCTGATTCTACATAAATATCTTCAAGAAGTGCAGAAAACATTGAGACAACCAATTTACAGAATTAGATGAAGTTCTAAAATGTCACCTTTTCACATTTTGGTGGTTTTAATACTTTCAAATGTAATACTTTAATGCAGTCCTTGATCCTTATTTGATTTTAAAACATCTTAATCAACTGAAAACTGTTATAAAGAAAACCTCACTAAAGCAAAAGTACTGTGGAGTCCCCTGCAAATCTTTTCAAGAACTCTTACCAATTAATATTTTTGTAATGACCACTAAACTGATTTTGCCAACCAATCTGCTACACCTTGCAAGTTTCATGACTCTTAAATGCACTCAGCACACTATCTATTCACATAATAATTTAAGTTAAAAACAATGGCCTTGTGGCAGGATGACCGATGGTGGAGTCAGGAAGATGCAGGTTTTCTAAAATAGTCTCTTGTTTATTTATTTTATTTTTTTCACATATATTTTTTTTCCAAATACTTGCAAATATTTACAGTGTCAGGAAAATCAAAATGCAAAACAAAAACTGTTCAAAAAAGAAATTAAAGAGGCATTAAGTTGCCAGGCTACATCTCTCAAGACCCTGCACACTTTTCCACTCATCAAAACTCTGTCACAGTCCGTTCTCTCTGCACACCTCTCCTTGCCATGGGCCTAATACAGCCTTAAATAGCTGTAGCCCCACCCACTGGATTGCTGCAATGCAAACCAGACAATTAACTATAAATTCACAAAAAAAAAAAATAAAACAAATAAACAAAATAAGCCCCCAACAAATATACAGACACATACCACGCGTTTTCTCCCCAACAAAATGTAGAGAGAAAAACCCATATTAGATTTAGCTCCCTTACGCGAAACCAGGAAGTTGAAGCGGGGTTCGGGATGCCGGTGGGTTAACTGTATACCGTGTTGACAATTACAAAGTTTTAACTAAATAAAGGTAGAGTTTGACCGCCCATGTGGATATTTTCATTACTTGCGGCTAGAGATTATACAGATGAGGATGAAATTACAATGTACAGTTGGTGTAATATATGTTCGGATTCATGCACAAATATTTGCTACTTAAGAATGCTGGTAAGCCTTTCCCTACACCTTAAACAACATTACATGCTATCTGGCATTTATGATACACGGTGATAAATGACATTGTGAGTAGTGAATCAGAAATAGAACAGAACAAACAGAAATAACAGTGATATGACCCTGAGAATAGTGGTAGAACAGCTCGACTATTAGCACCGGCGTTTGGCTGACTGCTGCGTGAGCATATCACGGCTCAGTCCGTGACAGGCCTCTTACAACAACAAAAACGTTTTTTTCAGAGTAAACTTATCATTTTGAATATTGCAATTAAGTTTCAAACCAGCTCTAAATATACAGTTTTGATTTTATTATAGCATTGCAATAAAATATAGCAATTTTTAACAAAGACAAAAAAAACAGTTTGCATAAAGAATGTGAAATCATGAAACTGTTCATCACTATAAGACCATGCTGCCGTATTTGTGACCAAACCTACAGTATCAACATAGGCCTAACTTCAGTATGTTGTGTACTGTAACAAGGTTTATAGTTCAGGGAAGAGGGAGGCGGGAACCAGCGGACATTTATCGATTTTTAATAAACAAATAAAATAAATACACAAACAAAAAGAACCGCTAGCAGCCCCTTGCGGACGCTTGCTGGCTACCAAAATAAATCACACACCGCACACAAATAAAATCGGTGCTCTCTCACAGGTGTCATTCATTAACACTTCCCTCGGCCTCGTCCTGCTCGCTACTACGCCACCCACTGAAACATTTTCTTTCTACTGATAAATAAAGATGTATTTAAGGTCTGCACTGGTTAAGTTTACACCTATAAAGATGTGCTTCACTATAAACATCGCAAGTTTGCATCTAAAGTACATCCGAATAAAATACAGGGAGTGTTACTGTAATTTCTTCTTCATTGAAATACTTAAAAATGTTGTTAGAGCCAAGTCACTTTTCTTTATATAGATGTGAAATAAATATTGTATGCATTAAGCAATCAATAAATAGTTAATAATAATAAATAATAAAATATTTTTTGTATTAACGATGATGTCATTTCCGGCAGTGACGGTTAGTTTTTTGTGAAGCAATGTTGGAGCGACACAGTTTTTTGACCGTGTAACATTTTCCAGTTAATTTTGTTATTAAACTTGATCGAAAAGAAGTTTCTGGACCTTGATATGTTATTCGAGTTCAAATCACGCTCACCCAAACATGAAGATGGATTGCTATCACAAATGTTCTAAAGAATTCTGTCCATGAACCTATAAAAATAAACAAAATATTTTTTGCTTTTTGTTGATCAGTATTTGCAATATATAGCCTACTTGTGACAATATTTTCTGCAGTTGTATACAATATCCCAAAAGTTCCCAAAGATTTTTATTTTCAGAGAAATAATGGCTCGTCCCTGTTCACTTGTCGCCTGTCAATGACGTAATATCAGTGTTATCCCTGGTTTCTACTCGCACTGCCATAGTAACCATGGCGACAGACATGGACCAAGACACGCTCACACTGTTGTTGTCTTCTTCAAACATTAAGGACCATGGCAAGCAGACTTTAGGAGAACTAAAACGAGGATTAATATCAGCTTGACGTTTTCGAGATGCCTAGAGCTCCGCGTCCACGACAAACTTCACCTTGGCAGAGATGCCATTCTTGCACATACTTTATTAGACATGTGAGCAAATATACATAAAACAAATCTGTTATAGCTCAACATGATGAAATTTTAGAATAGAATGTGATCCTCTTTTTCTAATGTTGATCTATCTTACTGCTAGTCTTGTCACAAACTAACACAGAATAACATTATAACTTTCAACACACTTACAGTAAATGCAGTTTACATTTTTTTCTCGATTGCTTAAACACATTTCTTGAAACTATGCCTGTTATTCTCAAAACAGTAAACACAAATCTACACTCAAAACCATTCACTCTTGCTGAAAAACCAAACTTTGCCCTCAGACAGGACACACAAGCCCTCAAAATAACCAGCTCATTCTCACTCCCAAGGCGTCACCTAACTGATGCCTTGGGAAGCATTTGGACATGCTTCAATATCTGACGCTTTAGGCGCCCTTTAGCGTCAGTTAGATGACGCCCTAGGATCGCGTGTACCCTACCCCCACCCCACACCTAAACCTAACCGCGTCCTCTAACTGACGCTTTCCTTTAGCGTCAGTTAGATGACGCCGTAAGATCGCGTCATGTAAGTGACGCTAAAGGGCGCCTAAAACGTCAAATATTGAAGCATGGTCAAAGGTGACGCCTTGGGGTGAGAATGCGTTGCAATAACATACACTACAACATAGTCCAACGCATTCTCACCCCAAGGCGTCACCTTTGAACATGCATCAATATTTGACGTTTTAGGCGCCCTTTAGCATCACTTACATGACGCAATCCTACGGCGTCATCTAACTGACGCTAAAGGAAAGCGTCAGTTAGAGGACGCGGTTAGGTTTAGGCGTGGGGTGGGGGTAGGGTACACGCGATCCTAGGGCGTCATCTAACTGACGCTAAAGGGCGCCTAAAGCGTCAGATATTGAAGCATGTCCAAATGCTTCCCAAGGCGTCAGTTAGGTGACGCCTTGGGAGTGAGAATGGGCTGCATAGTCTAACACACTGCAATAAATTCAAAACAACATTTCCAAAACTGGTTATGTTACTTGGTTCCCCTCCTCACAAACCTTTTCACATGATTTACAAAATACACAACCAATGGACATTGGCACATTTTTATTCATTCATGTACTACACAGTACAACACACACAAAAAAAATATTATTCCGCCTCAGCCTCCTGTCTTTGGTCTGGGCCAGGCCAGAGAATCACATCACAGGCTATATTAGCCCTAGCCCGGCAGCGGGGGTAAAATCCTCTTGTATGCCTGATCCACCCATTTTTTCCTCCCTGAAAGTTCTGATGATGGAGGTGACAGTGAAGCGACTCAAATTAGGCTGTACTCGTTGTCCAACCTCCCTCATAGTCATGCCATGGACAAGGACATGATCATCTAAAGTGGCTCTAATTTCATCCGAGACTGGTTTCTCCTTGCTCTTCCTCCTCCTGCTCCACCACCATCTCTTCTACCTCGTCCTTTACCACGTCATCCTCTTCCTCTTCTTCCTCCACTCCCTCATCCTTCACCATGTCCTCTTCCGCTCCCTCCTCGACCTCTTCCTTCATTTCTTTGTGGATCCATTGCTCCAAAACTCAGATGAACTGACTCTGGCACTTTTAGGCATCTTGAAAGTTCTGAGTGATGTGTGTTAAATTGTGACTCTTAGTGTTTTCATCTGGGTAATGGTGTGCTAATTGAGCAGAAACTATGCTGACTTGAGTGAACAATATTGAATGC